ATAGTATCGGCCTACTTATCTAGTATATAAGGACGTGGTCAATACATTTCTTGGTATTTAAAAAGTCATCATCAATATATAATATATTCAATATATGAAAATGAAATTAAACGACATTGAAACTTTTTTCTCGCCTGTTTTGATAAGCTCTTCTATCAATTCAGCCTGGTTTGAAAACAAAAACAAACCACCTAACAATGGGACAAAGTTCCCATAGGTGTGCTACTAGTCTGGTTTAAGATCTTACTACCAAACTCGACGAAGATATGGATAATAATTTCACAAGGTAAAAAAGAAACAGGTTGGGTGAGAAAAAGGCGAAAATTTCCGAACGTTTCTGAAGGTTTCATACAAGTCATATGGGTCTTGTCACAAGATGTATTTGAAATCTTACGGAATTTGTACGACTGGTTGGTTCAATTGGTTATGTAGATAGGCATAAATCTGAGGGGTGTGCTGTTTTAATTCTGATTTGGTAATTCCTCTGGACTTGATCCGTGCTTTGTTAATTTCTAATCGCCACTCTCGCTTGAGGAAAACACTGATATATTTACTCAGGAACTGTCTTACCAGCACGATCTTTGTTGGTGTCATTCTTGTTGACATTGAATACTTATTAGGAAAAACCAGATGCACATTCAATGTCGTCTTTGTAATCTACCTTAGTTTAGTTATGCGCATGTCTCGAGTAAACATATGATAACGAGGTTAAGTTCTTTGTAACACAGTGGAAATTCCTGTGTTGTACTTTCGGTTATGTAACAAAGAAAGCTGATTAATAAAAGAACAGCCAAGAAGATTTAGAAGGTAATTATACTGAATTAAGTATTTTTTCATTGGTATCATCATGCTTAGTGTGATTGGCTTGTAACCGTATGTCATCAAACTAATTGGTATGATAGATTGGCATAAGCAATGGCTTTGAACAAACATGTCGTCTGTAAGATCGACAAAATTGAGAAGAAGAAAACATGTATTTATACACTCTGAACAGATATCTTAATGCCTATCCAATCTACCTGGTAAACTGTCGGATTATTTTTGAACATGTTAATGCCGTTCTATTTCTAGGTCACGTCGTGGCCCATCATAAGGTACGGTAACTGCGTTCTGCAGAACTATTGTCAATAGGCTTATAATAACCAGGTATCAAGGTGAGGTACACGCGGAGGACATTTATTGGAGGCGATGACAAATAGAATCTTAGTTTTTGTTGTGTTTATTGTTTTTAATTGTTTTGTATAGTGCAACATCAACACCCATGCGTTTCTTTTTGAGCAAGGTTTCATACAATTATACAGATCTTGTCACAAGATGTATTCGTAATCTTACGGAATTTGTACGACTGGTTGGTTCAATTGGTTATGTAGATAGGCATAAATCTGAGGGGTGTGCTGTTTTAATTCTGATTTGGTAATTCCTCTGGACTTGATCCGTGCTTTGTTAATTTCTAATCGCCACTCTCGCTTGAGGAAAACACTGATATATTTACTCAGGAACTGTCTTACCAGCACGATCTTTGTTGGTGTCATTCTTGTTGACATTGAATACTTATTAGGAAAAACCAGATGCACATTCAATGTCGTCTTTGTAATCTACCTTAGTTTAGTTATGCGCATGTCTCGAGTAAACATATGATAACGAGGCTAAGGTCTTTGTAACACAGTGGAAATTCCTGTGTTGTACTTTCGGTTATGTAACAAAGAAAGCTGATTAATAAAAGAACAGCCAAGAAGATTTAGAAGGTAATTATACTGAATTAAGTATTTTTTCATTGGTATCATCATGCTTAGTGTGATTGGCTTGTAACCGTATGTCATCAAACTAATTGGTATGATAGATTGGCATAAGCAATGGCTTTGAACAAACATGTCGTCTGTAAGATCGACAAAATTGAGAAGAAGAAAACATGTATTTATACACTCTGAACAGATATCTTAATGCCTATCCAATCTACCTGGTAAACTGTCGGATTATTTTTGAACATGTTAATGCCGTTCTATTTCTAGGTCACGTCGTGGCCCATCATAAGGTACGGTAACTGCGTTCTGCAGAACTATTGTCAATAGGCTTATAATAACCAGGTATCAAGGTGAGGTACACGCGGAGGACATTTATTGGAGGCGATGACAAATAGAATCTTAGTTTTTGTTGTGTTTATTGTTTTTAATTGTTTTGTATAGTGCAACATCAACACCCATGCGTTTCTTTTTGAGCAAGGTTTCATACAATTATACAGATCTTGTCACAAGATGTATTCGTAATCTTACGGAATTTGTACGACTGGTTGGTTCAATTGGTTATGTAGATAGGCATAAATCTGAGGGGTGTGCTGTTTTAATTCTGATTTGGTAATTCCTCTGGACTTGATCCGTGCTTTGTTAATTTCTAATCGCCACTCTCGCTTGAGGAAAACACTGATATATTTACTCAGGAACTGTCTTACCAGCACGATCTTTGTTGGTGTCATTCTTGTTGACATTGAATACTTATTAGGAAAAACCAGATGCACATTCAATGTCGTCTTTGTAATCTACCTTAGTTTAGTTATGCGCATGTCTCGAGTAAACATATGATAACGAGGCTAAGGTCTTTGTAACACAGTGGAAATTCCTGTGTTGTACTTTCGGTTATGTAACAAAGAAAGCTGATTAATAAAAGAACAGCCAAGAAGATTTAGAAGGTAATTATACTGAATTAAGTATTTTTTATTGGTATCATCATGCTTAGTGTGATTGGCTTGTAACCGTATGTCATCAAACTAATTGGTATGATAGATTGGCATAAGCAATGGCTTTGAACAAATATGTCGTCTGTAAGATCGACAAAATTGAGAAGAAGAAAACATGTATTTATACACTCTGAACAGATATCTTAATGCCTATCCAATCTACCTGGTAAACTGTCGGATTATTTTTGAACATGTTAATGCCGTTCTATTTCTAGGTCACGTCGTGGCCCATCATAAGGTACGGTAACCGCGTTCTGCAGAACTATTGTCAATAGGCTTATAATAACCAGGTATCAAGGTGAGGTACACGCGGAGGACATTTATTGGAGGCGATGACAAATAGAATCTTAGTTTTTGTTGTGTTTATTGTTTTTAATTGTTTTGTATAGTGCAACATCAACACCCATGCGTTTCTTTTTGAGCAAGGTTTCATACAATTATACAGATCTTGTCACAAGATGTATTCGTAATCTTACGGAATTTGTACGACTGGTTGGTTCAATTGGTTATGTAGATAGGCATAAATCTGAGGGGTGTGCTGTTTTAATTCTGATTTGGTAATTCCTCTGGACTTGATCCGTGCTTTGTTAATTTCTAATCGCCACTCTCGCTTGAGGAAAACACTGAAATATTTACTCAGGAACTGTCTTACCAGCGCGATCTTTGTTGTTGTGATTCTTGTTGACATTGGTTACTTAGGAGGTAAAAAACAGATGCACATTCCATGTCGCCTTTGTAATCTAACTTAGTTTAGTTGTGCGCATGTCTCGAGTAAACATATGATAACGAGGTTAAGTTCTTTGTAACACAGTGGAAATTCCTGTGTTGTACTTTCGGTTATGTATGAAAGAAAACTGATCAATAAAAGAACAGCCAAGAACTGAATTAAGTATTTTTTCATTGGTATCATCATGCTTAGTGTGATTGGCTTGTAACTATAGGTCACGAAGTTTATTTGTATGATAGACTGGCTTAAACAATGGCTTTGAACAAACTTGTCGTTTGTAAGATCGACAAAATTGAGAAGAAAAAACATGTATTTATACACTCTGAACAGATATCTAAATGCCTATCCAATTCACCTGGTTAACTGTCGGATTATGTTCTTCCTGTGATAGTTAAACAATCAAGGTTGCGCTACTTTCTGCAACAACCAGTTTTATAGGTTAGTTTTTACCGCTGTAATTTTGCTGCAGTGTCCTAATTTTTAAAGTGCTGTCAGCTCAGCGGTTTTTTTTTTGTAAAATTAGTGACATCCATGAGGACAATCCGAGGGACACTCTGTATCTCATTAATAGGCCCTGTACCCTTGGAACCTACTAAGGAAGTCATTATTATACTAGGCGAGGACTCCTCCATTAAGTTATCAGTTATTTCTATATCCATGCTTAAAAAACTACAAGATTTGAAGTGCTCTTGGGGACAAAATTGTCCACTCTCTCTCCCTCTCTCTCTCTCCCTCTCTCTCTCACCTACATCCCACAGCAAACTTTGTATAAGACAGATTTTGTATTAACTGCTTGGGTAAAAAGTTAGCCCTGTAGGTTACCTACAAATGATATAATTTGCACGAATGCTATAGAATGAACCGTTATTGTGTTTTTGGCAATTTTAAAAAATGACAATTTTACAATAACAATATATGCGATGCCAGATTTGTCCTTTTCCAGGAGACTTTCTTTTGTTCATATCTTGCCGTAGTTTTATGGAATTTGTGTTTGGATTATGATTATGTTGACGTGTTGGTATTTACTTGAAGTGTTTTATAGTTATGTCCTTGCAAAAAGGTTGTAAGTTTGGAATAGAAAATTGAAACGTGAAAGTTGAAAAAATGTTTGAGATATGAAATTGAAGAATGAAATAGAGATAATTTAAAATAATATTTTCAAACATTTGTAAACAGAAAGTTTAAGATAAGAAAAATACTGAGATAACAATAGAAATATAGAACCCTTCCATATAAGATGGTTTTATGTGCATACAATGTTACTAATAGTATTATAAGCATGCATGCTTTTATATTAGTTTTCAAAAATACCGGACAATTACCAGGGTACGGATTTGCGTAGTTTGTATTCGATTAATGAACATTAGGCCAATATTGAAACAATGTTCATAATTGATTCTGCTAGTTCCTTAGTTTTATTCGTCAGTATACGTATTTTGAGGAAGAGACAAACATGTAATACAAGGACACAATAATTTGTTTTACAAAAGTCTCAGTTATCATGAATTGTATTGTTTGATTTATTTGTTGGTAGTTAAGTAAATGGCGACGAAGTTAACACAGACCCACAGGAATCAACTATCCAAATGGATCGACCCAACGAAAAGACACAAGTTCATACTACTGTACAAGATCAGTAGAGACGGATGTAATGCCAACACATTTCATAATTACTGTAATAATAAAGGGCCAACTGTCACCGTCCTGTACAATACTGACAAATCGGTGTACGGGGGGTATACCGCTGAAAACTGGACTTCCAATATCACATATGTCGACGATGCTCATGCATTTCTCTTTAAACTGGAGTACAATGGTAAAGAAAATCCAATGAAGTTTCCAACCAAAAATAATGGAACAAATGCCATGTATAATAAAGAATCTTGTGGGCCAACTTTTGGAAATGGACATGACTTACATTGCTTCGATGGAAATGTGGACAAATCCGGTAATTATTTCCCGTTGAATGGAAAAGTAAATCTTGGTAACACATACGACATGCTGGGACAAGATTACAACACTGTAATGAATGGTCATCAAAATGTCCTGGAACTGAAGGTGTACAGTGTTCAAGGTAGACTTTTTCTATAATTTTACAAATGTTTTCTTTTATGTAAGTTTTATTTCTAATTTGTGATACTAGCGCTACTGCAAATCAATTGTCACGATTTACTGAAAATTACTGCATCAGATGAGTGTATTAATTCTTGCGTATTTACAGACAAAAAGATTTTCGGTGAGATGGGAATGGAAGAAACACTTTTAATAATATTTCTGTCAAAAAATTAAGTATGCTTCACTGTGGTTCACTTCCGAACTATTAAAAGGAGGCTTACATGATGATATTGCAGCCTCCTCAAACCACACGCACTCAATACATGAAGTCACCTTGCATATACCAGGAAACCGTCCTGAAAAGACCATCGCTGTTGACAGGACATTTATAATCATAAACCAGACGGATGCTGTTTTATTAATTCATCGTTATTGCTCGAAGATTTTGCCATCTTCAGTAATACTTTGCTTGCTTATGTTTCAATTTTGTGGAAGTATTATTCGCTTTTGTTGATCACTCTAATTGGACCATATTGGAAAGGCATGTGACCCGAGGTGGAATAGTATTTGCAAACACCATCTGGTCACCAATTTGTTTTCGTTTTCTTATAACAACGTTTTGCTTTTAATTTATTTTGTAATGGCTCCTGAAAATAACTTACTGGTCTCTGATATCCATATAATTCCTTTTTCACCACATCAATTCAAAATTCCCTATTTTGACGTACATTTTATTTGCATGTTTAAATATGGTAAACACTTATGCTTCTTTCCATCCATTGCATTATCTACAGAGAAAACCTTGGAGGAACAACGACAAGAGGACTTGCTACTAGAGTCAAATCGGGTGATGGAAAGGCCGTGGATACCAAACATCGACTGGAGTTCTAAAGTAGGTATAGTTGTAGATAATCCAAAATAAGACAATTGGAAACAGTAGATGTAGTTTTGGGAAGCAATTACGATAGTGTTTTATCCGTTAAACTGGTTAAATAAAATTATACAGGAACATTTCATGGCAATTTGTCTCAGACGAAATCGAAAACATTATAAATCAATTATCTGTTTAGTAGTTAGTACTCGCACATTCAAAATGTTTTTTTTATTTCTATTTCCGAAATTTTAATATAATAAAGTTATTTGGTTTACCTACTCCTTTTTACTTAAGACAAACGGAAATAGTGACATCTCAGTTAAGGCGACCAATTAGACCTATGTGGCTCTTATTCAATATGAAATTTTAACAAAATTGTCGAAAAGATGGACTGGATCGTCTTTATTATTTTGACGTTAAAAACCTTTCAGCAGTAAAACGCTTTTGATTATATCATATCTAGCACGAGGAGATGTTAAAAGAAAAAGTGGCCACTTATAAACCATTAGCCGGATTGAACCTCAAGCAGGCAAACATTCTCTTGGTCGGGCAGGTTGGGGCTGGAAAGTCCAGCTTCTTCAACACCATTAACTCCATATACCGTGGACACATAAGTGTTCAAGCTAACGCTGGAAGTGCAGAACACAGTTTGACAACTTCCGTGAGTATAAAGTATGATTGAAATCTTTGATCTTGACTGATTCCGTCCTCCTTTTCTACACATAACTTTCCAAACTTCCATCGGTAGAGCCTTGTGCTCGTTACTTTCACCAAATTTCATATCTTAAAGTATAGTCAATTTTTTTTGTGTTACAAATCCGATTAACGGTTCTAAAACGTCTCAATAACGTCAGCTCAAGATATTGTAACAAAGTTGCCGCTCTTTATTTACATTGGCGAAACTCCGAATAGGAAAAAGTTATTATCCATATTCCTCACTCGACATATTGCAGAGTTCTAAATTCCAATAACACTGTCGTATATCATAGAATGGGACATATTAAATGTGACATTCCTTTGTTTCTCATTCAGATCTAAGTGTAAAAAAACGGTGCGAACACGGTCCAACATATAATGGCAAAATTCGCCAGAACAGTATTAAGTCACCATTGCACAATACATGCATCTGGCCATGAAAAGCTTATTGCAACATTACACATTGATAAAAATGGATTGTAGGGAAGTACACAGTCCATTTTGCTTTGCATTTTTGTGGTAGAGTTGGCGTAATGGTGTGTCCTCGCAACATGCACTATTATATATGAAGACGAGGTTCATGAAAGTTAAGATTATTTAAGTGGTTGTATGAGTTCATTGTACTACCTGTCACATACAAAAAAACACCATGTCTAGTAACAACAACATTCTATTCAGCCAGACGCTTGACATACATATTAACAATTACAAACACAGATGAGACCAAGACTAACGGGTAACACTATTGACCTGAACATGGACATTAAATGTGATTACACGACACTACCATCTGGCAAGTCTTGAAATTGTAATTTAACATTACATTTCATCACGTTATACTGACACTACCGCCACCTGTTCATGATTTCTCTTTCACCAAAAGACAAAAATTTACCAATTGGGGATAATGTAACTTAATATACATGTAGATATAACATATTTGTGAGTGATTGTGTATTTCTAGTATGAATATTTTGTTGTTGTTAGATAGCATGGTGACTGATAATAGATGTACATTATCTAACCACAATGTAAAGTAGTTAATCAATCTTCGTAGATTAAATCCCTGAATTGTTGTCGTAAATACATAGTAATTCGAAATCAATTAATGAAACTTTATGTATATGCACACGTATTGGGATGCGGAAAAGCAAGTGTGTGAAATTTTATTGGTGGTATCTTGATTCATTACCCATTAAAATATCTTGTCCGTTGACGGCATACAAGTTCATTTCATAATACATAGAAATTTTGAGGAATGTAGCTTATTTGATCAATTTATGGTCTTTATACAAAATTTGCCTTTTGCATAGCCTACAATTTAATCACTTGAATATTGTGCAATGTTATATGCTTATGTTAAAATGGAGCTATTAGCTCTATTTGACTTGATAACCAGCATTTAAATATCTAGTTCGGCGCGAAATCAACCTTCTTTATCAGGAAACAGATTCGAGATATATTTCGGACAAAAATTCAGTGAGGAATAAAATCTCACATCAGCATTCTTGCCATAATTAACTTATTGAACTTTTCAATATATTGATATGGCATTCGAAAAAAAAGGTCTGTGCTACATAAAGATGATGACGACTTCGCAAATTGATTTCTGCGGTCTATATATCCATTGTAGGATCATCTTTGATACAAATGTATCTATGTATGGAATGTAATTGATAGAACTTGGCTATATTAAAGTTCCGGTTGTACCAAGTCAGGGACGGGCCTGGTGGTAAACCCCTTAACTTCCGTTTATGTGACACACGAGGGTTAGAAGAGGATCAAGGCCTTACTGACCAAGAGATTGGCTTTTTACTGGATGGCCATGTGCCTGAAAAGTATAAGGTAAATGACAATGCATTTTTCAATACATATCTTAATTGGTCAGGAAATAACAGAAGAGGGGATTCAATTTCTCTTGGTATTTTTCAAATATTCATTTAGGTGTTTTTTTTAACTTAACGAGGTTATTCGAAGTCATGCAAACTTTGTTGACCTCTTGCTGTCATGCGTATATTCATGACGTCAGCTTTGGTTAAATGAGTTAGAATATATCCAAACTTTATAGCACGGTTAAGACAAGTTCACAAAAATATACATATCTGTACTTGCAAATATATGCATGACAAATATCGTAAACAATCTTTAAATCTAATTTATACAATGATTGTTTCTCGTAGACTACGTTTAACTGTGACTGTACACTTACATGTAAAATCTTAATTGCATTAAACAGATATGAACTGTAGTATATTTTCGCAACTTGCGAACGGTTCACCAATAACATATGATTATATAAATGACTTAATACATATGTTCATAGTAATGTACTTTGACAATTTACAGTTCAACTCTGCCGTTCCACTATCTCCCGACAGCATCGGGTTCGTGAAGAATCCTACGCTGTCAAATAAAATCCACTGTGTGGCGTTTGTCCTGGACTCTAGCACGGTTGACGTCATGTCGGAGAAAGTGATTGAGCAAATAAAAGCAATGCAGACATCGATGAATCAGAGATGTAAACAATTGATTTTTATTTTATTCTTTTCCTTTATCAATATGTATCACAGATGCATATACCTCACACATCTGCATCATATACTTTTTCAGTAGCTGTATTTTGTCAACATGAATAAAATATAAGCAACAAGCATAGCCACAAACTGAATCTGATACGATGTGAAATTGAAGGTTTTGTTCTTTACAGTGGTACCACAGGCTGTTTTGTTGACTAACATTGACAGGATCTGTCAGAAGACATCTGAAGACATCAGCAAAGTTTTCTTCAGCAGTGCAGTGAAAGAATGTGTAGAAAGAGTTTCAATGATGATGGGATTGCCCCAATCACAAGTTCTTCCTGTCAAAAATTACCATCGTGAGGCAGACCTCGACCAAAACATCAACATCTTGTCTCTCCGTAGCCTCAGGCGAATTCTCAACTTTGTTGACGATTCCCTTCATAACAGATTGGACGAAATCGAGGCTGAAAAGCCTTCAATAGTAAGGATGGCTGAGTGAGATTTTACTAACGATCAGTGCCAGACATGTATCAATACTGATCTTATAACCATTGGAAATGTATTGTCAATACTGAATAAAAATGTCTGCTTACTACCATATGTTACAAGTTTACCATCCTATGCAGAGTTTATTATTTTAATGACTTCCAAGATGTTACTATTGATATAATCTCCTCTATATGTACGCCAGGTGTAATTGTATTAATCGATACACAGTATTATCATTGAGGACAAATTGATACGTTGTATTAAAATGTTAATGAAAATTGATAAACAAATAAGACTGACACATACGAATGACTTTGTTTTAAGAGGGGAGGTAACTCTATAATGTTTACGACAAGATTCATGCCCCATATTTACATGCTGAGATTAAAAGCAGCGCACACAAGATAAGAACATCAGACAAAGAAGGAAGATAGACACGGATCCAAGATTCATAAAACAGTTACAAGGAATCAACATTAAGACAGAATAAAGAAAAGGTGGTTGTTTGAATGATGTGCTTAATCATAATTCGTATCTGATTAGATTATGTTTTGCTTGAAGAAAAAATAAAACAATGTAAAGCTAGCAAAGTCGACTGTCCTGTTTCAAAATAGCACGTTTCATTAAAACTTGACATCGTCAAACAGAAATATGTGTAGTGTACCATCTTATACAAAATGCACCAAGTAAATGACATATTAAGGATATTCATGTTTTGCTCTCCAGTGTCTTTAGTTGGAGATTTTTCATCTTTTTCACAAAGCCCCTTCACTGTTTTGAAGTTGATAAAGCCACGCCCATATGTTAATAAAAATATGCCTTAGTTCATTACACATTTAGCGTACTTTTACGAATAAAATGCTTGTGCACTGAAAGAGATTTTCCTCTAGAAAGAGCATTCAACCCATATATATTCTTATTCACTTATATAATACAGAAACTCTTGTTTTATTGAACATAACATTCTGCTCTAAAGGTAAACCTCCCCTTCGTGAATCTACATAAAGCAGCTTATTATAGTTGCACATTTCTGGATTTCAATTGATTTTAGAACACCTTTCAGTGGAAAAATATATCTTTTTGTGATATTTGACCACATCCAAGCTTGGCGAATATATATATATAAATATATCACATACTTGAAACAGTATTTGTATTATTCATATCCAATTTTTGATAAAAATATAGAGTGAACCCTGCTCAATGTCGGAAGACAGTGAAATAGATTCACAGAAAGGAAATTAGCTGGCTCAGTGCACTTCACTTTATCATAGTTTTATTAAGAAAATAAAAGCGTTCTATATTAATACAAACGAGGTCCATATTTTCAGGAAGAGATGTTCAGTGTTTGGCTTATCTGCATAACTAACAGAACAAATCCTTATCTTCATTTCTACTTTCAAGCATCGTATGATTTACTTGTTATTCAGTGAATATTCCTGTCATATTTTTGCGCATTCCATGTATATTTGAAATGCTTTAGACAATTAGATGGCGTCACAAATTTCCAGAAGGTCAGTAGGTATGGAGACCATAAGTAAAGACTTCAAGTTTGACGAAGATCTCCTAATTGCCTGAAAAATCTTGTGATAAAAACGATCTTTAATCGTTTCCATTTGACGCATAATTCATATAACGAGTCTAAGAAACTTTTAAGAGAGAATTTGATTAATTGAAATGAATTTTAGATCTTTTTTATCACATGACTGATTTTCATAAAATTACATATTAAACGGAAACTTATGTCCGGTTTTATAATGGATGGATATTTTTCAAATGCTATTGTAGGCTTTCCATTGCGCCTATTTGTGCCCTCTTAATTTTGGAATTGATCAGAAAAACGGAATGGCAGGCAGGGTGTAATCTTTGATTTTGACAATAGAAGTTTGCTATTTCTTGAGAAGCACTGGATTCTCAAATTAGATATGCAGAATTATTTTTGTTACTAGCATATCTTTAAGAGATTACAATAGATATCTTCTATTATATTCAATACATTAGCACTTGAATGCAATTTAGTTTTGCCATGCAATAAAAGCACAGTTAGGACTAATGCCAAACTCTGTGTTTTTTTTTTATATATCTGCTTCAGTGAAAGTGAAAACACAACATTCCTTTTACACGAGTATAAAGATGTTAACAATCACATCGCTCCAGGAAATATTAGTAAGTGTAACTATTTTCACGGAGGTATTGTTACAGTCCTTATTTAACATAGCTAAATGATTTTCAATTACTTTAAATGTATTTTGTAAGAATCCTAACAATATAAACAATACATTTAAAAGAGATGGTGGATAGATAACAAGCCGTTTGATGAGTCTGTGTCACAATTATGTTTAAATTTCCATAAACAGGTAAATGAATTCATTGAGGTAAATAATTCCATGTGGATAGATCTTAACGAATAGTGATGTTTTCCGCAGTGATTAGAAACTTCTTCGCAGGAAGAGCAAAACGTTGAGACGATGAAAAACTGAGCAAAAGGAAAAATAGATGAAAACCTTACAAAAAACCGAAACGGAAAATTAGACAAGTTGTACCAGAAGAGTGAGCGCCTTTATCTTTATCTTGTCAATCCATGTAGATGATGTCACATTCTCAAATGACACATTATATTTAAAAATCATAATTTTACATTTAAATATCTGTACATTGATTTATATAGCAAATACTTTATCAATCGTTAATTCACCATTGCCAATATCTTACGAAACGATACATTTACATTGCCCTCTACAATAACGTTACAATGTTCTTTTTTGATCGTTCGATGAATCGGCTATTTGAATTACTGGATTTTCCCCTTCGGATAAGATAAAATTTTTTACTCAGTGTTATCGGATACCTAATTCATTGATGAGGATAAAAATTCTTTACGTTTGGATGTTTACAGCATACATATTTTCCAATTCATTTCTACGTACACAGCAAAGCAGTAACAAGATCCGTATCTTAATATCTGTGAAAACGATTCGCGTTATCCTAACACTACGTTTGCTCTTGTCCTGTCCAGTGATGGCAGATACTGGTTCCAAAACTGTATTCTCTCCGGGTTCAAATTGTATGCCGGAGCTATGTTGAAATTCAGGTACTGATAAAGTCTGCCCACTGAGTCGTATCTAGGCCAGTAGGGGACATGCGGGCCGTTTGGTGAGCTAACAAAGAAAAACGAGAGAGGAACAGTAGATAATACACATTTGAAACGATGGCTAATGACAAAGACAATGTGACATGAACTACTACAAGCAACTTTTAGGTATTTTAAGTTTGATAGACTTCATGTGGAAAAGACCATATTATTGGTACAAGTAAGGGAATAAAAAATCTAAATCTAAATAAGATATATAGATACATTTCACTGTTTATTGTGTTTCTCTCGATTTCTACACCAGATAATTGTTTTAATGTTAAATCAAATATACTTAAAAGTGATATTGTATATTGCATTGTTAAAGCGATAAACTAAAAATGTAATGTATAAATTACAGATGCAGAAATTGCATAATACATACCCATTTTTGGCAAAATTTGTCCAGTATCTAATCATCTTCTCTGACAACATTTCATCGGAAAAAGAGATGGGATTCGATACTGACCATATAATTGACGGCCCGAAAAGATATGGAAGTTCTGCAGCATGCCAAGCCCCTTTGAACCAGGTGGGTTGGGGGTACAATTTAAATGGATATTGCCTGGTGAACAAATACTGATAAGTGTTTCGACCCATTGTTAGTCCAGGAGCAGAATGGCAGTCTAGAGATCTTAATGCCGGAGCAATCATAGAAAAATCGGAGTACATGTTGACGATATTTCTGCTCTGCTCAATTTCATCTGTGCTGCTATATTTCTTACATATAGCCTCGGAAACGTCGGTATTGTTATTAAAGAAATCCTTTGCAATCATCCGCGCATAGGAATTACACAACACGATCGTAGGTATTGAACGCGAATAATTAAAATTGTACTGTTTTTCAAGGTAATTCATGAATTCATCGTTAATAAGGGACCCTTCCGAATCAGTAGTACCGATAATAACATCAAGAGAGCGGAAGAAACTTGATTCTGTCGACGAGGTATTGGCTATTATGGCGCTGGGATGGTGTATGATCAATTCTCCATCAACTACAGGGGCGTTGGGTATGGTAAGGGTAGCGTTAGCGTAGTTAATAATGTCGAGGCTGTTTTGAGTTTGTATGATTTCTTGTGCACTTTTTCCTCTGATGCATTTAAGTAACATTTCAGAATCAAAATTAATATCGTTTTCATTCAGACAATTGAGACCGATGCCATATCTCCTTGCATGTACTTCCGGCTCTATGTTTAATGCAAAAGGTGAATTGCCTGTTCCACTCTCGGCAATTACCCGTTGGAATAGACCTTGGTTTTGTGGTAAAAGAGCATGTAATCCCACACTAAACGCGCCGGCAGATTCACCAAAGATTGTGATAGAATTGGGATTTCCACCAAAAGCTTCGATATTGGCCTTAACCCATTGCATTGCGAGCCTTTGATCCCACAATCCATAGTTACCGCGCGAAGCGTCATCCATTGTACTGAAGAATCCAAGTAAACCTAATCTGTAGTTAACAGTAACCACTATAACATCCCCTTTAGTTACAAGGTTGAATGCGTCATAATAAAATGACTGGCCTTCTAAATAACCCCCACCGTGTATCCAGATCATTACACTTTTGGTATTATTCGGAGAGGCGTTGATTGGTGTGTATATATTCAAATGCAGACAATCCTCCGACATTTCCGTATTCGGTAAAGAAGGTGAAATAGACTCAGCCTTCTGATAGCAGGACGGTCCAAAGGAAGTGCCATCTAAAACATTGGTCCATCTGCCGAATGGAACAGGTTTCCGTAATCTCAGAGTACCAACAGGAGGTTTTGCAAAAGGAATTTTTCGGAACTGATAAACCACCTCACCTCGATTCTGCGCAGCAATCCCACGGACTGGTCCAGATGCAGAATTAATTATTCTATATCTCTGGCAGTTGATCA